TCATGTTATGCTATGTTTGGTACATGTCTTGAATGTTTAAAAGTAATTTGCCGAAGATTTTTAGTGAAGTCCACGGATTTTTCATTCACTGTGACGGCCAGTATAATACACACAAGCGTACAACGCTGCGTAAATTTTAAACAGACGTTCAAAAAATATTGGTTAAATCGATCTAGGCATTACGTAAGAGACTTAAGTCGTACATTTTGTTCGAATAGTGTTTTATTGTAAAGTGACTTAAGTCTGCGACGAATAGCAAGGACAGTAAACAGATGTTTATCTCACATTTATAGGATTGTCCATATGTTTTGTTTGAGATTAGATTAAATGGGACATGTTATTACAATTTTGTTTCAGATTTACAATGCGAATTTTGTTCCCGACTATATTCAGGCTTTAAATGTGTACTGCTGAAGGTTTTCTATACTCAGGTGATCTTTCGACAGGCAGGTCGGCTACTTCATTGTTACCGTCTGCGTAACAGCCCGCGTGCGTTAAAAGCTAGTAAAGACCGCGGCTCAAACCGATCAGATCATCGTATCAGTTTGGTTGGTCATAAAAATTTGTGTAGTCCCCTTAGTTGTATATTCAGTTTACCCTACTGAGATTGCAAGCAGTCACTGCTGTATCGGCCCACAATTGGAAACGTACAACCGAAATATCCGAGAGCATGACTGGATTATGCTCCCGCATAGACGCCAGTTTCAATTCTCCCAAGTAATTGCATTACTGCATCCATGCAGTCGTCATCGACAGACTTCACGTCTTTGAGCGGGCCATACAGTCTAGACGTTCCAAATTAAAATAATTTTTGCCGGAGATTATTTGCTTCTTCCCCTAATCTCATGAAGCGCTTTGGTTGTTAGTCTAAAGCTTTCGTAGTTTTTCGGTTTATGTTGCCTCTGGACCTTGAAAAAGGTAGAGGATAGAAAAGTAACTATAAAAGATTAATGATCCTGGGAATTATAATCCTTAAAATCCTCAGCAGTAAAATCCATTTGAAACTGAGCGCGTTGCTTTCTACTGTAAATATCCCATTCGATTCCGTTGTCTTAGACGCGAGAAAGTAACTTCGCTTTCAACCAGTTTGTTTTGTATCACGGTATTTTTCGTGATGTGTGACTTCGATACTCAGAGCGGTTTCTAATTTTTAGGCACTATCCAGTTTTTTTTCACGATTAAATGACAGAAATTCTAAACTATGGCTCACATCAAAATCTTGCATTTGTCCGCTAATACGCATTCATAAAAGACGGACAGCAGCCGGAATTCTTATTACGGTAAATAATTATATAATTCTATACTACTGGCTGCCTGTTGGCAGTTTGTGAATATTACACGGTTGTTCCGTAGTGGCCGGTAGATTGCATCTGAAATATTCATATTAAATCATATTAAATAGTCTGTTCCGAAGGAATTACACCAAGTTCAAGCACTTATTTCCTCGAAAATTAAGCGTGACATTGTAACGTATTTAATAACTCGTCATTAGTCAAAAATTCACCTGCCCTACTTTATAAACTTTTTTCATCTGTACGCGCGATTCCAGATACGGTTGGTGGAATTGAGGTGGAGAGTTTCAGGAAAACCAAGACATTTGTCTTACTACTGAGGTAAATGTAAACCAATGCATTACAGACATACACAGCTGAGGCATAACTATAAACAAAAAGCTGTCTTTTAAGTCCGAGAAAAACTTGTCAATGCAACAGTCTGATGAGGCCTACTATTTAAGAAGCAAATGTCTACACCAACTAAAGCTTAAGCAAAGTTCGGCAGTTGTTATTCATTACCGAAAATCACATATGACAAAAATACAGGCTTTATGGAAAGTAGTAGATAAGTTCGTTTTAAATAAAAGAAGTCAAACATACCGAGCTCGCAAAACTAATTGTCTGTCGTTCGGACAAACCCAACTGTCCATTTCTATTCAGACCTGTGCGAAGAAAAAGTATGTTTATAATATCGTATTTAGTTAATACGTTCCGTGCGTACTTTTAGAACAAAAAATAAGCCTCTTGAAGTCACCATCCCGACTGCTTATTGCGCATTAATGAGATGTAACATGCTCAAAAAATTTAAGAAGAAACCTCCAGTTCAAGCAAGGTCGTGGGAACAATGAGGGAAACTCAGAGCATTTGTTTCTTATGCACATCCAGGTTAGGTCTTCTTATCAACCCTGCATCGAAGTTGTTGGTTAAAGTATGCACACTTTCAAGGCATTTGCTCGGACTGATTGAAAAAAAACTAACAGATAAGTCATGTATCATCAGAAAACCTAGAAATGACTAGTATAAAGCGTTTGTATAATACATCAGCTCACTCTTATTTGTCACGATGGCATTTTCCTGTTTTAAGTGGTGTTTTTATTTATTGAATAGCCTTTTATAAAATACTTATGGTAGAATGTAATTTGGACTTTTATGTCCCGCGAATGACAAGATATCCTTATATTAACATAAATCTTAGCGAACAAGTGTCTTTCCACAAAAAAATGTGTGTTTTGCAATTCTTGTCGATAGGAGCTTTATGTTTCTATAATGAAAGTTAGTAATTTTAAGAAAGTTGTCAACATGCATGTCCTGCTAGCCAGATTTATCACTCGTCTACATAAAACTACGGCAAATTTTATGTCGAACAACCCTTCACATACAAGAGCTTTGTTAATATTTAATCCAGAAATGATACTTAGTCAAAGTCATGAATTCACCCCTGCATCAAAGATCTGAAAATTGCTAACCGACACTAACCTGTTTTTATCTCTGCGCAAACTGATGTCAGTTTGAATTTTCCTCTTCATTTACGTGTAGTCACCCACAATTTACTTTGTGTTTCCTGTCCATTTCGGAAGCAATCTGGTTGAAGACTCCTCGAATGGATATGGTTTGTAATTGGGATCAAACAGTCTATGCGCAGGCTAAACCTGCCTTTCCCATGTCGCGTGCAAAATTAGAGTCTTTTGCTCGTTATTCACTGCTCTTTGATTGGTAGGATATGCCAGACTCAAAGATCTGGCCAGGATGCCATCGAGTTTTGTCCACCTGCGTCGGCTTTTCATCACAACAAGTGCTGGCGACGATTTTTATTGGTTGGTCTGCCTTCCTGGTGGAGGGTATGTCCTTAACATTAAGCCAATAAGAACTCTAGCACTTGAGGAAGTAAGCATAATGCCTGACGCCTCTGTGTCCATTTCTTTGATGTGCAAATAAGCAGCCGAATCCGGACGTTTTTTGCCTTGCATTTAACTGTACACTTTAGAGACTTGCTACTTAGTGTCCGACAAAACTATCCTGCAAAAGCCTAACACCTTCTGCGTGTTTTAAAAACAATGAAAATGGAAAATATAGTGAAAAATCTTGTTTATAAACTAACAGATCCCAAGTTCATGTGTGGCTTATCGTATATGTTCCAAACCTTTTCGATCCAATCTGTCCTTCTTATTTCCGAATCAACTTCACGCAAATGTGTGGGCGGGTTAAACAATGAATAGTGGACCCCGGTTATTTGCCGGAGTTACGAACCACAGCCGGCTGCGAGTAACTGAAATCATCACTTGCTTGAGACGCCTTTAAAAACGATCAAAACCGCCCACTTTTGTAGTTAAACGACAAATTCGCCCAACAAATCTCCCCCAAATACTTCAATGTCATTTCAAATTGTTTTAAAACATTACTTTGAAAAAGACTACAGCCACGTGTGAACACTACTACGACCTTATAAACCTAAAAGGCAAAAATTAACCAAGACGCCCTTATATTTAAGCACGCACAATTTGCTTTTTACAGTATTCAAACCTTGCCGTTTTTTCGACGTATGGAGTAGACGTAGCGAACATTGGCACATTGACAAGTACAGGGGACGGTAAAATGTTGCCCCTGAATATTGAAATATGGATTAGAGAAGTATACGAAATAATGAAAGGTTTAGAACTGCGTACGATACTCACCGGTGATGGCTTGTGATTAAAGCAATAAAATGTCAAGAGCAGGCTTTTAAGGAAAAAATACATTTTACTTGTACATTTTTGCATTAATATTCAATCTTACCAAGTTCATAAATCATTTTTATTTCTAAAAATATAATTATTCGTTGGAATAAAAAATAACTGACGAATAGTATAACTACTCTGCACGAAAAACTTTATGAATAGGTGACTCCGTGAATACTGAGGTACAATAGTCGGGGTCAAATGTATTGCATCTCCAGCCTTAATACAAACGGAACGCGCCAATCTAAATGGCATTTTGCATTCAGCCGCTGTACTCTTCTTATTCTAATGTCCCCATCAAGAAAGTGAGTAATTTCAATAAACTTATTGGTCTGAAATTTTATTTCAAAATAGTGTCAACAGCAACGTTCTTCATCAAAAATTCCGTTTTAATGAAGCGGGACAAATTTTGTATGCGTGGCTTTTGGTCTTTGCCCAGGGCGTTTGCCCAGTTTCAGCTCGTAATCTTAAGGAACATCTCGCAAATGTCCCTAATTCAATAGTAGTTTGACCAAAGGGTGTCTTCGCGCTGTATGTTAAGGATAGACAGGCTACGCTTGTCCCATTCATTCTAATTTATTAATCTTACTTTCACTAAATCAAGATATATACTGCATAGCGCGCATTTATGACTAACCTTGCCTTCAAATGAAAAGGGATTTTAAACATTGTAAGCCCTGCCGCGCTAGGGAAAGTATGATTTCACTTTTTTATTCTATTGGATTCTCTGCAAATCGCATATGACGAAAAGCGCACTCTTTTAAGCGTCCCTATATAGAGGATACAGTATGCCTTAAGACATTTGGAAACCCCTTCAGCGCAACCGGAAGGGACCCCAAATGCCTTGGGAAGACCGCGTTACGACCTTACGAGTAAAGTTATTTAAAACGAGTCATAGTGTCTACTTCATGCCCTATAAAATCTCAGCATGGTTTAACTGTAAGATAAAGTCAGTACAATTGTAGTTGGGCCTAGGAGTATTCATCGGAATGGATGGACAACCACAAATCTTATGTTTCCTAGTTTTTACGAACCAGACCTCGCAGATGCGAGCGTCGAATGTAAGCGAGAGCTACATAGTGACTACAATAGGTCAAAGGCAACTCATTCTAACTCCCATGCCAAAAGAAGACAGAATCATCCATCAGATGACAATCTTCAACGCCAATAGGACTTCGACTCCAGTGTCGTTTAAACAATCTCCACGTCTACTGTATGGAGAAACTTAGGACGGGCCATCCACGTTCCCCATCCCATTAGCAAAGACTTCATTAACAAACTGTCATTTTAGTTTAAACTTTTTTCCTACTTTTCTGTTTCTTCTGACACTCTCTACATTAGGATAAGAGGAACAGCTAGGAAATGACACCTGATCGGTAACCCAGTCACCGAATACCGAAACGTGTCAATGTAAAGGAGGTGAATTAGCAGCTGCAGTGCCATCATGGAACGGAGGGCGGATTCCCATAAGCCAAATTTTGTGCATAATACCACAGGTTTCATGTAATCATGGGCTGCCATGGAAGAAATTTGCATTCCAAAACTTCCTTGTGATTGTCCTCTGCAGCAAAAATACCATAGCCTACAGTGACGGACGAATAATCTGAGCAGCTGGAGATAATACGCATGTAGTGCAAACAAAAATTTCCTGGATATAACTGACTAAAAATTTAGGGTTCATACGATGACCTCCTCACATGCGATATGTTCCGCAAATCGATCTGCTGGCGGAGCGAATAGGATACAAAGTGTAATGACTAATCGGGAAAGGAATCTCCACACCGAATTTTGGGATGTGTGGGCGTTTATTTGGTTCGTTATAAAAAGTTAAACAATGTGCACTCCTCGCAAGTACAGAGAAAACAACTACCGTTTATGTGAAGTCCAAAGCCCAATATCTAACTTCCGGTAAAATGACATCTCCGCGGTTTTAAGACTCCTTCACATACAAGTCCTATGACAGATAGCGTGTATTACGCACGCTAGCGAAGCAATTACTAAAATTGCGTAGGTCTGAACTCCAGGTCTGTAATTCAGATTCATCGTCAGAAAAAAATAAACAGAGAAAGGTAAGCGGACGTTTAACGAGCGCAATGCGAAAACCTTGCTGGGAGAGCACGCCGATGAACACCATCTGTTTACAGTATTGGTATTCATGAAAAAATAGCCGAAAATCACTGCGACGATGAAATGGCGGCAATTAATTATTCAGATGCGGGTGGTCTTTGTGTTATCGCATCAAATGCGGCCGTCTGCAGTAAATGTGACAGACACAAATTCCGTAAAATGTGTGTATGACAGCTGCATCCTCTAAATATTGAACGAATATGCATCCGGTGCCTTTGCATATTTGGGGTAAATCAGAAACATCGAACGAAAAAACGTCATCTTTAACAGTCTAGTCCCCTCCTTCCTACATGCCTGCTGGAATTCAATTATTCATATGCACTCGCAACTGCCTACACGTATTATCTGACTGTGTTTGTCCTAGTTTTCAGACTACCCGTTCTTCGACTTCTCCGGATCAGCAATACGGTCAATGTAGATGACAAGCATTGGCCCTATTACTGATTTAGTTTGCACGAGTCCAAACAAGCTAACCTAAAGGGTTCAATTAGTGTTTCGGCCTGTCCGAACTGTAAGATGAAGTTTGTATACCTCAGCCGAAAAATGGTTCGTTGGCAACAGTGAACTAAAACGCTTGTTTGCAATCGTCTTCTCAGCCTACAGCTCAGAATTCACAACTTTTCAGAAGGACGGACTGGGCCGGTTACCGGTAAACGCAGATTTATATGACGAGCGAGTTATTCCAGTGGAAGCGTGACGCTTTTGAAGACTTCCAAGAGCCCCACGAACATAATTTATTTGAGCAATTATATAGGTTCTACGGTGATGAATGGACAAAGGAAGGAGATGTATAATCAAAGGTCACTATTTATCGAAGGATTCTGCACGAAAGACCTCAAACAGTCCTGCGAAGCCAGGAACGCCGACAGTTATCGGTTGTTCGCAGTCGTGATCAATTAAACAGTTCAACGCAACATAGCTATTTGTTCGATGTATCTCCACAGCTCGGAACTCGGCTTCGATTGACTTTGTCCTTGAATTTCATTCACATTCACGCTGCCTGTTAATTCTACGAGGCAAGTCTACATCTTCTTAATTGCTTTCAACATCTAAATCTTTCTTCCACATCGATCATAACAATCAGTTATGTGAGTAATAATCTTCTGTCATCTAAAGTAGAAATGACTAAAAGGATGCTTTTTTAGAATTTGTGTTATTTGGTCTACGCCCCAAAGTCAGCTCTCGGCCAGCTTCTCAAAATGACATACGCTTCCATCGGACCTTAAGGCCCTCCTATTCTTGTTGTTATCTGCTAATCCAAGATTGTGGGCGAAATGCACGAATTGGGTCGTCTGAGTGTTCAGACGTTCACCCCATCGAACTTGTTTATCATGGAACCTCATGGGACAGTGGCGAAAGATCAGTGACTGTCGTTGATAGGAACTTCTGTATGTTATCACCACCTTTTTGAGAACAATCTCAGTGAACTGGTGCTCCACGAACTCTAATTCGGCCAGCAAACCAATTACCTTACCTCAAATTAGAGTGTCCTTACTGTATACCCGATTATAGATCAGCGACTAGTATCAAAACTGGTAACGTTTTCAAGTTAAATCAGGTGACTACACACAAAAACCTTAATGTTTTCTTTCTACTTGCGTTCAGGATACACCCTGTCCAGTTATAGTAAATTTGCAGAAGTCAAATTCATTAACTACAAAAATATCATCTTGCTGTGCAGTTCGATTCAAAGCAGCAATTAACAGTCCCAACTGATGTTTACAGCCAGCGATGAGGCGAGCGAAATTCCCTAATTCACCAAGCCTCACCACAAGACTGGGTCGTTGCACGTACTCCAAACTCATCTGTTCATAGAACTTGGGTTAAGGCGTATAATGCTGATTCCTTCATATACTCAATTAGGGAAACCAGCCAAATAATCTTCCCCAACGTGGCGACCTCAATGAAGCCGACCTTACGGTTGACGGTGTGGCCGGTTCTTGTTGGTCTTTCGGGGCAGTGAGTGTTACTGATTTACCCTAAGTTTTCATATGTAATCCGGAGTCCGCATCCGGAATAACCTTCCTATTTCTCCGACACAGTTACTCTCCCCACAGCCGCGTTAGGTCCGGAAATTGTGTATGGACTATCTTTGTGTTGAGTGCGAGTCCTTTGTCCTCATCATTTGGAATATGATCGCTGCCTTTTTTACGAGTACAACTGTTAAGTGTTATGCAAAGGCGGCTGAAAATCTTTAGGCTCTGGCTCGTATGTTCTGGTCTCTCGTCTTGTCTTCGCATACGCCAGTCAACGAATTTGGGTTTGTAACCATTTGCTCCGATTATCCACCGTGGGTAATGTAATTTAGCAATCTCGTCTCCCAATTCACTGCATTGCGCATCAACGCAGGTCACCCTTACGCAATTACGTTTTTAACCGTTAGGTTATTTCTCGCTAAAAATCGGTAGTTTTGTCGTGCGTGTCGCTTACTTGGGCATTATTGTTTCTAGGTCATCACGACTCCTGCCACATCGAGAAAGACCCCCTGAGTTCCTTCTGTTTCTCCTCTCTCTTCCTCCACCTACATCGTGACTCTCATGACCGGTAAGACAGCCTTCAGATGTTTTTTTTTAGATCTCAACGCGTGATCCGGCTCCATGGTGACGATAGCATCACCCCCATATCGAAATCAGAATTTCGCTCTTCGTTGCCAGTGGATCCAACTGTTGTCAGACTACTTCGCCTATATATGAGCAGTTCCACATCAGTGAAAATACTGACTTGCCTTTCATACGCTCATAGCTTGTTAAGTGTATTGCGAACTACCATTATGAGACAGAATCTTGATGGCTAAATATGTTAGGCACATTGAACGTGGCTTTACTTTTCATCCTACTTGTTTACTTGAGCGCATTCTCATGTTCCCGTTGTTTAATCCCTGAAAAGGGAACTAACATGCGGTACGAAATTTAAAACGGTCGTTGTTCAGTTTTCTAAGGGACTTTAGGATCCTCCGAAATGCGAATAGCAAAATGATTGTTTTCGCCTCTCAAACTTCTGTCTTTTTGTCAATGCAATTCAAAGACTTATGATATCAATACGACCAGGCTTATTCATAACTACCTGGTAAGTGCTACTTGCTTTCCCCGCGGTTCACAGTAAGCAAGACGTAGGTTTTCCTGCCATTACATTCTTGGTCCGCTCTATCAAAATTTCGGATCGTTTTCAGGATTACCGTTACGACACTTTTACTACTGGACGCAATAGTAGTACTTTGATGGAACCTCAAAGGTCTCAATTCTTGCTCCTATTCAATCTTATAAAGTTTGCTAAAGTCTTTTTCGTGGAAAACTAATGCCGCACCTGAACAGGCTTTCCTGCGTATTTTCGGATAGTACGAATTCAAGCCGGCTGTGTTTTCGGCAGGTGCAACATCTGTAAATTTAAACCATTTGTTTTGGCAGCATGTGAATCTTTTTTCGAAAGATGAATGGCTCATGTAGACATTTGCTCAGCTCGGATAGTGCGGAGACTGATTGGTGTCACTTTCAGTGTGCTCCATCATTCTTGTAATCCTAACTGTGACATCTGCTATTTAAAAATTTATTCAAATGCTATTTAGGCAGGAATAAAATGGATTGCCGCCTACGGTCGGAAGTCATTGCTTCGAAACTCGGTCATTTGCAATAACACTCGAAATCACCATCTAATATTTATGCGCGAATAGCCCTACAACCTCATTTGGTAGAGTGGACCTGGGACAAAACCTTCTGTAGGGGGCCATGCTAGCGAATGCGTGAAGAAGAGTCGACTGTTCGAAAGTCGTTTCGGTTTCTGCCGCTTTCTCCTAATGTTCGGTAAAAAAAAGCCGTCTTTATTTTAAACTTCGATTTGAACGCAGTCCTTTCGATCTGAAATATTAACAAATGACGTCATGTAACCCTTCTACTTTATATAAGTATCTCGCGTCTGTTTCAGCATAAGTGCCTAAAACGGGAAATATTTGCAATTAAAAATCCCCTACCGCATGCTTTTATAGATTTGTTCCAATATTTATGTACTCTTTTATATGGTACGTAAATATTGTTGTATACAGACACTTGTCTAAGGGCAAGCATCCTCGCCAAGTGTTCGCTTTGGACCAGGGGGAGTGGTGGCACGCCTAGGTCCGGGTCCGGCCGCGCCAGCCACCTGCGCCCTCCCCTGTTTCCGGTCTTCCTGACTATGTATTGATACCGAGCCCAGGTGCCGAAGGAGGAGATGGTGGGGTATATACAGTCTGAGTCCACTGTCACTATAAAGGAAATCATGTACAAGTCACCGTGCCTGTTTTCACCCGGTTGTGAAGCACACGGTAGACATCGTCCGTCAAGACAGTTAAGCTGTCATAGGCAAAGATTATTGCGACTAGTGATCAAAAAAGAAATTAACGAAATGTGTAAGAAGTACTGAACATATTTAGAAGTACAGCATCTTTTAGAAAATAATTATTGTGGGGAAATTTAAAACAGACTCTTAATGCTTTTGAACAATAACTTGAAGTGGATTATTCTAAAACAGACTGGGAATCGGTGGTGTTTTCGTGGACACTAATGAGCCTTGAACAATATAGAACACTTATATGATAACCCCTAGTATATGGATTGTTGTATTTGACAATAAAACTTAGCTTAACGTCATCATCTCACATCACACGGACTAGTCTGAGTTTCTCTTCTTGACTTATTGCTACGCAACTATCGGCTAGAGGAATTTAATCGGGTCGGCAGTGTTATTGTCAGACATTTAGTCCGTTGTTGTGCTAGCATAACAATCGAATTGTTTAAAATGAAGTAAAGCCATATATAAATAATTGCACTTCCGTTTTTCTTAATGCATTCCAAACAATGTCCGAGCCTTACATGGAATGGTGGAATACGTTTGATTATCCTTTTTATAGGTTTCTTAGAGCCTTATTAATATTTGTAGTCCACAGATGTCTAGGTAGCAGTTCAAGATTGTCACTTTTATTTGCTGTAGCAGATCTTTTATCCACTGTAGGCCTTAGCTGCGATTATCCAAACACACTTATCAAACGCATCCTTCATCCTTCTAGGGGGCTCTGGCGGTCTTCTATGTGGCTGAGAAACGTTTAACAAGAGAAATAGTTATTTATGACACAATTCACCGCTTTAGTACTTAGCAGTTTACTACTGTTCAACTTCGGCAATTCTAATATATTATGCCTGCTATTATTTGCTGTAAAGCTAACTAGGCTGTCCCAACAAGAAATACCTTGTGATTTGTATTGTTTATTTGACATTTTGAATGCCGAAGCTATCTGTTGGGTGTCCTGGTCTGTTATTGAGGAAATCGGTTTGCAATATACAGTTTATTCATTATGTCAGTTCAGAATAATTAACATAACGATTAAGTTGCCTATCGATTATTCGAGTTTACTGATTCTGCTCGGCCCGGGGCAATGAAGCCCAGCTGATTATTGTCAGCTTAAAGGTGACACTTATCTGTATTTGTTCACAGACCGAAATATAAAACGGCAAAAGTGGATATGAATGAAATGAGTAACATCAACGGGGAGGGCCTTATCGTTGTTTTATTGACCAGAGTTGTGATTTTGGCCGTCAATCTTCAGAGCATAAAGAGGTGTATACATAGTTATTAATATATACCTCATGGGCAACATATTTATCCACCTTGATGCGTAAATCAGTAGTGCCGACTGTCTGTGCAAATCAGATCTCGGTTTTACCGTGGTCTGTGCCTCTTTGATCTCCTTATGGTGACAATATTCGGCGAATCTGGTGGTTTCACGTCCTTACTATCTTCATTTAAATACGTCCCACTAACCAGATGGGAGCCAGGAAAATATATGTGCTATTTAACTGAGTGATTGACAAATAACAAGGCTTCTTGCATCAGCCTTATAATACGGGGTATGGCTCGCCTGCATAGCATTAGCTGCCGCATAAGGATCTAGTTCTAACCTGAAAACAATCAAAGGATTCCATGCAATTTTATTTGTGGTCGTTTCAGTTTCCTCTTAAGCAATTGCCCTCTCCATATCATCAGTAAACTTTTAGACAATAAATGACATCCTCAGATAGCGATTAGCTCTCCTAGCCAAATCACTAGCCATTAGATTGTTGAGTTAGGCCTGTGACCGACTCCCATTACAAGTGAAGTGCTGTGCCTAGCCAGAGTCTAGGACAACGTTTTCACATTATATTCCCCTTATGATCTCGTTTGACTGTATCCATCATTTCGTCTCTCTTGTGGCATGCGACTCCCATAGACAAATGCTCCTCTGTACCATTTGTCTCTAAAGTATTTTCGGTTCCGTTGGAGATCTTTCTTCTTGACAGCTGCTATATTACAATGAATTTTTGCCCTCTACCATAGCATGCGGGTGGCCGTCGTAGTAACTAGGTATCCGTGACAAGTTGATCGGTTGCCCCATTGGCTGTTGTTGCTAGCCGGTCGTGTGGTTGGTGCCAGACCGGAGTATATAAGAATGGAAGTTTGCCCACCGCCACCTCTGTCGTGGACTGTAAACTGTAAGTGATTGGGTGCAGTCGCTCTCCGGAGTAATTCGTATTCCTCCGGTCGGTAATGATAAATGCGACTTTAAGGTCGCCTAACGAGCGATTTGGATAAAAGTACATAACTTATGTGCCCAGTCGTCCAAGGATAAGCCTAATCTTGATCTTTATTACAAATTTTCAATAAAATGATTAAGATGCGCAAGAGTTCTTGCCAAACACGGTTTTAATTTGTTTCCCATGATCGTTTTCTAAACTAAAACAGAAGCGTTGTCGATAAAAATATTTGAGGTATTTTTTCGATTATTTAAGTATCCGGAAGTTTATCTAAAGCAATTTTGCACTTGACCAAAGATAATGGTTAACTTGAGAAGATGAAAAATGTCACGTACATCGTGAATACATATCGAAGTCCCGTTTGTTAAAACGAGAACGAAATAGCTAACGTTCCCTACATGGCTACTGAAGACACACTTTAGCTTAGAGTTAACGAAATGCTCGTGCATAAGAGGGGACGCATTATTTAAAACATCTCTCATGTATTTGTTTATTGCACTAGTGCGTGCGGCTGGAGGAACTTATATCATCTTACAATATGTTTGCGCTTTCATTATAGTTAAGCGACTTTTTGTCTCATTTAATAAGACAGATTTACTACCGCCTGGTGTTTTATCGAAGGCTTTTACTCTTAGCACTAAGGACAAATAATTCTGCGGAAGCACCGGAGTAATATAATAATTCCCAAATACTTACAGTAAGATGAATTGCCCCCTTGACAGCATTTGTATTAGACTGCCTATTTTAAAAAAGGCATTATCAGATGCAATCCAACACCCTTACGAGAAATTCACTTTGAATAACTACTTATAGAGTTGGGAGGCTTCAACGAGGCCCCGTGATGCCTGAAGTTTTCTATCAAATTCGTTTTCGGGACAAATTGCCATTTAAATGGGTATGATATGGCACAAAGAAACGATTAAATTTGAGTGCACCATAGTCTTTGCTGTGATCGGACATGTTTCATGAGGTTTCTTGGGAATTTCGAATACGGACGGGTCCCCAACAGCCGCTCGGATTGTTTGTTCGAGGTTGTCTACTCTAGCGCATTGGCTTAAAGCCTAATCACAAGGCAGCGGTGGCAAGTAAACTTACTTAATGGCGGTTTACGGTCGCCATGTTACAATGCCGTCATTGGGCTTTGCGGCTTTCTATAAGGCTTTCAGCGTGCCAGACCTCAGCACACCGCACCCTGGTAACAATGTCGTTGCTGGTCTTCGACTGCTTATTCGTCAGACCTGGATCTGCCTATTTCGCAGCTAACCTTCACTGAAGGTCGTGCCACTATCCGCCACCTGTGGATGCGCCTGATAGCCAGCAGCTAGGCTCACGGGCAACTCGTCTTCCCGGGCAACCCGTTTTCCCGGCAAGCTAGCACTGCTGAGGCCCTAAGCAGAGAAATCCGGACCTGTTTTACGACCCGAGCCGACGGAGAAGTCAGTAACCAGTGGTCGTCACTGAAGACTTCAGTCTATGGGGCAGCTGAGAAAATCCTTGGATACACCCAGCGACGCCGCAGTGACTGGATCAGCGGAAGAACCCTGCAGTTGTCTGCTCAGACGGCTAGAGCCAGGTCCCGCAACGATGACTACCTCCGCCAACTTCGGAAGATGACGGCAAAATCAGCCAGGGATGACCGGAAGCAATATTGGTCTGAAATAGCGACCTCCATGGAACAGGCCTCGAACTTTGGTGACACTTGAAAGCTCTACCGTCTAATCCGCCACGTTAGCTGTAAGCCCTGTACACTGAGTGACTCTGTTCGCGATGCGAACGGCGTCTTTGTTGCTGACAACACGGCCAAAGTCGATCGCTGGCGTGAGCACTTTGAGCACCATCTCAACTTCGATAACCAGCCTACCTCACCCTTGCTCTCGTCCTCAGCGGAGTTTCTTCCCTCTCCTACCTATGCAGTGCCATGCGATCCCCCCTCCGAGAGAGAAGTCGCCGATGCCATACGAAAGTTGCGCAACAATAAGGCACCCGAAGAGGACGGTATACCCGCTAAAATCTTCAAGTCTTGTGTCGACACTCTGGCGCCCAGGCTCCATGAGGTGACTGAACGAGCATGGAGAGACGAGGTTGTTCCTGATGACTGGGGCTTATGCATCCTTGTATCTATCCTCAAGAATGGAGATAAGACGAGATGCGAGAACTACCGCGGCATAAGTCTCCTCGACGTTGCTGCGAAAATCTTCGCTATTGTCCTACTCAGGCGATTCCATGCTGCGCATGACTCAAGGACGAGGCCCAATCAAGCCGGATTTTGTGCTGGACGTGGATGCGCAGATCAGATATTCATACTGAGGCGCATTCTCGAATCTCGCCATAGCTACCAACAATCGACGGCCGTCTGCTTCGTTGACTTTGCCGCCGCGTTCGATTCCGTTCACCGTGAGTCCCTGTGGCGGATAATGGCGCTAGGTGGTGTACCGGCAAAAATAATCGTCATGATCAAGGCCTATTATCGCTCCACTACTGCGAGAGTCCTGGTCCGCAACAATCTTTCCCAACCGTTCGGTATTCGGTCTGGCGTCCGACAGGGTTGCATCCTGTCACCCATTGTGTTCAACTATGCTATTGACTGGATCCTCGGGAGGACCCTACGCGAGAGTGACGGCGTTGAGTTTGCACCCGGACATCGACCTACTGATCTTGACTATGCCGATGATTTCGCCTTACTTGCTTCAAGTTTTGGTGATCTGCAGTCTATGGTGTCACGGGTGAACGAGGTCGCTAAATCAGTCGGTTTGTCCATAAACGCTGGGAAGACCAAAGTGTTCTCAAGCTGCATTCCTGACCAGGAGAAGGCACACCTCGGGATTGATGGCAGTCAACTTGAAGAAGTAGACAGTTTTAAATAACTTGGGGCGAGGCTGCTGCCTAATGGACAGAGTAAGGACGACATTGTCTCCCGAATCGATGCTGCCCGCTGGGTTTTTTCAAGCCTTCGGAAATGCCTGTGGAACCGACGTGACCTCTCCATCGCCACTAACATTCGCCTGTACCGTGCATCTGTCCGGTCTGCCCTTCTCTACGGTTGTGAATGCTGGGTTTTGTGCGTGGAGGACGAGCGAAAACTGGAAGTATTTGACCACCATTGCTTGAGAACCATCCTTCGAGTGAAGTTCACCGACTTCGTCTCAAATGACACAGTACGCGCTCGCTGCGATAACATCGCAAGGATAAATCAGGCCATCCAAGAAAGACGACTGAGGTGGTTTGGGCACGTTCTTCCTCGTCCACCTCAGGAGCTCAGTGTTACTGCCCTCGATCCGGCACCGTTGCCCCATTGGAGGCGTCGAAGAGGGGGTCAGTTCAAAACCTGGCTCGACAGAGTTCGTCAAGACATGGAGGTGGTTCTTGGACTTTCGGTATTAGGTCTCCGTCGTTGGCGAAGGGAATGGGTTGAGCTGTCCAGATCTGCTGCTGCGGATCGTCACGCGTGAAGAGGTACAGTTCGGGACATCATCGAGGCCAGCTAGCTCAGGCATGATCGCAGCCGTATCAAGTACAAGTAAGTAAGTAAGCACCATAGTCTTTATTCTATCGCTCTAATATACTGGGCTGTAAAAAAGGTTCATGCATTTGTTTTGCACATCTGTTAGAAGCGTCTCAATAGACGGCACAAGGCCAACCTTCATGGGTCGTTTCGTGTTCGGGCGCTTCAGTCCTAATCGTTTATAATTAAAGTAGTTGCGACAACATGTACATGTATGCCTTAAAATTGTTTGTCCACCATAACGTGCTTATTGTCCTATGCATCTATCGATTTTCCAGGCAGACACAAATTTACTGATATCTTAGATGCTTGTTTGCTAAACCATTACCTTGAGGTGAACCCTACACATTCTACAAGGTCTGAAAATTTGCATGCACGAACAAGAACAGTCATGCTTAAAAAACGCCAATTTTGGTAACAGATAAAAATGAAACCGATATCAAGAGACTAATAAGTGTGCTTATTTTATGCTCTCAACGTATTTTGATCAAAGGAGCTGGAAAGAAAATTAGGCCTGACCAAAACCTTTATGTATTATTGCTGAAAAATATAATACAATAGTATCTGCAATGAAACGAGATCCATCTTTGTACGTTGGTGTGTCCGACCGTTAATGACTCATAAATCAATGGGGCTGGAGATGAAAGACAAACCCGTGAAGATTATGCGGATACTTATTGAATTACTGACATTTCTGTTTTAAGAAATACCAACTTGGTAGGAAAAGTCCGATATATTTTGGGTTGTCTAAATTTCATGGCCTTCTTTCTGACGGACCGCAAAAGATTGACGCAGCCTTTAAAACCGAACTTTTTTAAAGCAATATCATTCATCAATTGCGGAAAAAATGCTGCTTGCACGACTTTTAAGGCTCCCTATGAGCTAATTTCTTCGCTCGACTCTACCCAGGCTCGCGAGTTTTGACGGAATAGCATTTGCCGTTCCCTTCTGAAATTTTTCGGATAACTATAAATTAAAATAAATAGAGAAGCCCGTTTTTAAATGGGGCTGACAATTTGTATGTCCCATCAAAGCAATTTAGAAAAGTGCAAACCGTAAACTATTGATGCAGAACGTGACTGTGTGAGACATACCAGGTCGAAAGCCCGTTTAGGTAAATACTCGATTTTATTTGGTTGTGGGGGTGGTATGGACGACAAGACAGAGACTCCCCAATCAGCAGTCAGGGAAGACGAATTGGGTTGGAGAACAGTTACTGCTGCGGAGGTGCGTACACAAAGGCCTCGCAAGCAGTCCCCGCGAGCGATCTCTCCAGGCCAGTTGTGTTGTCAGTGTCCGCCGTCGAGGTTATTCGCCCTCAGCGCGTTCGTACGCCTTTCGCTCTGTTCCAGTGGCCGCCAGCCTATCAGAGAAGGGGCGGCGTTGATTGGCCTCGAGCACTTGCGAGGCCATTTTGACAAGCCAGCATCCCAGGCGAGTGACCAAAAAAAGCGATATGCGGACGTGCTTCAGAGTGCTGAAGAGTGATTGGTCGAACATTTTCTCCAGAGCTGCGGCGGATTCTGGGACCTTTCTATAGTTTTACTTTCGCGAAATTATTTTTGATGATACCTCCAGCCACTGAAAGACCCGGAATATGTCATTAAGACAGTCGGCCAAGTGAGAAGTTAACATATGATTACTAACTTTGAGTCTCCCTCTACTCGCTCAAATTTTACCTGGTTAGTAAGTTTATTAGTTAGTTTATTTAGCTAGTTAATTGTTAGTCAGTTAGTTTAGTTAGGCAGTTTGTCAGTTAGTCTAGTTATTTAGTCGGTTAGTTTGTCAGAATAGCTAGTTTATTAGCATTGTTAGTTGGGCAGTTAGTTATTTAGTGAGCTTAGTTTAGTATGGTTTGTTAATTAGCTAATTAATTTAGTTAGTTCGTTGTTAGTCAGTTAGTTTGGTTAGTTAGTTTAGTGAGTTTGGTTAGCTAGTTAGTTAGTTAGTTAATTAGTTGGTTAGTTAGTTAACAGTCTAGTATGCTTGGTAACCAGTCATTCGTCGGTTAGTTAGTCAATATACCTAGTTAGTTTCTTAGTGAGTTTGGTTTAGTTTTGTTTGGTTTGTTAGTTAGCTCATTAGTTTAGTTAGTATGTTGTTAGTCAGTTATTTTAGTTAGTTTGGTTAGTTAGTTAATTAGTTGGTTAGTTAGTTAGAGGGTTAGTATGGTTGGTAAACAGTCGTTCGCTCTTAAAGTCTACCATACCTCACCCAAAATTTATGTTTCTTTATGGCTTTTGGCTTCCAGTGGTCCGTCTAGAAACGTTATCCTGTTAGACATGGCGATATGAATGTGCCTTTCGACATTACCTATATTA